ACGTGAGCGGGGGGCATTTGTTTGAGAGGGAATTGCCCCTACATATTGCCAGCCCTGGAGCAGAGATGTCCGGATCCAGGCGCCTTTCTAGAAAGACCCAGCCCTACTAGTGGAGTCCCTTTGACGAGGGTAATTATTTATTTTTTTTTAATCAACCTTATTTTACTCTGCGATTTATTCAAATCAAGGGAATTTTTCCTCTCCATTCTTGGATTATGAAAAAGGATGCCAAACAGAAGTTTGAGTCATTACTTGTAAGCAATTCCAATGCCTTCATATCCCTTCGTTCAATTACCTCTATATAAATAAATAGGAATGTTAGACCTATTTGGCTCTTATTAATACCATATTAAACACAACATGTATTGTAGTAGTGATTATTGCTACATCATTTCATTTTGGGAATTTATAAATACGACATTACGTTTTTTTCTGGCAAGCTCCCATTTTAAGGCATCTGGATTTCCATTTTTAAACTGACACAGTTGCGGCTGCTAGACAAAAAGAAGGGTTCAATCAACGTGTATTTGGAAAAGTAATAGGGCAGGTGGTGGCTGATTTGCAAATGTGAAAAGTAACTGCTCGTAAACAGCACCACTCAGTGAAATGGCTCTGAACATCATCTTTCCCAAATGGTTTCTACCAGTTCTTTGTTTGATGGATGTGGGCAATAAAAGCTTTTGTTTCCCCTACCTGAAAGGCATGTGGCGTATCATCGACGCAGTACACCCGCAGGCTGTAGTTCATGGAAGCGCTCTCCATGTTGCCAAACACAGCCAGCTTCAGCCTCTTGATGGCAGCCTGCGTGAGGGGTTCGCCCACGAGGGCGTATGAACCTGGCTGGCTGAGCAGCAGGTGGCAGCTTGTGGAGTCCATGAGGCAGTAACAAGAAGTGGATTCATCCTCCACCAACATCACCTCCTAGAGCACAAGAAGAGAACATTGTAGGTTTGAACCTCTTATGAAGGCCTCAGAATGATTCCAGCGATTGCAACATCCCTTTCATTTTCAGCGACGGCAGGGCTCAGTGGTAGACTAAGAACTTTGGGACTCCATCCTCAGCTGTTGTAACCATGCCGATGGATGCTCAACATATTGCCAGATTAATCATGCGTCAAATCATTCTAAAATAGACACATGAATCCATGTAACATACAGTTTTCAGCAATAAACCAAAACATGCATTTTTATCCTTCAATATACCGAGGCCGCTTTCATAAAATTCCTTGAACACACTTACATTGATATTTTGTTTTAATTCAAAGAAGAACATCCATCCATCCATTTTCTGATGCGCTTATCCTCTCAAGGCACACTGGAGCCTGTCCCAGCAGTCATTGGGCAGTAGGCAGGCAACACCCTGAACCGGTTGCCAGCCAATCGCACGGCACACATAGACATACTACCATCCGTGCTCACACGCACACCCAAGGGACAATTTCGAGTGTTCCATCAACCTGTCGTGCATGTTTTTGGAATGTGGGAGGAAACCGGAGGACCCGGAGAAAACCCATGCAGGCCCGGGGAGAACATGCAAACTCCACACAGGAAGGAAGAGCCGGAATCGAACCCTGCACCGCTGCACTGTGAGGCCGACGCGCGAACAAGTCGACCACCGGGCCGCCTCAAAGAACAACATACAACATGAAATGCTTATGCGAAGCGATGCATTGCTGAAATGAATGCATTATGGAATTCTTTTTCACCACTGTAGAAAAAACATGACAGCCATTTAAATCATGAAAAAAAAAATCCACCCTGTTGGTGACTAATCTCTGGGGAACAAAAAAAAACCCCATTTCCTCCTCTAGTAAAGATGTTTGGACATAGCCTAACACAAAATAGTCACTTTGAGCAACATAGTGTTTTATTTATGAGACAGCAGCATTCTAAGCAGCACTTCATTATTTCCAACCGGAGAGAAGAAATTGTCGATACCGGTCTTTCCTCCTCACTTCCGTTCCAACATTACAATACACCCAACATTTCTTTTCAGGTGTGGGAAGCGAACAAACATCAAAATTGTCGAAGATGCCACTCAGTACCGAATATCCTAAACCAAAGTGCATTTCAAATGATAATGGACATTATTGACTCAAAAATCAGAGGAAAATAAATGATTGTTTGAGTAAAACATCAAGGCTCGAATGAACTGTTTTCCTTTGAGGGGCAATTTTGCTAATCAATTACTTAATTTGAGGAGCAAATGACTAACTTTGAGGAGCAATTTTTTTGCAGATTAATCCCAGAGACCTGAAACATGGGTTGAATTAAACAGTAAAAATATGACAAAATTATGTGAGGGTTGAATGTAAGGCTGCAGGTATCGAATATGTCACTATTTTACTATCCTACTGAAAATTCTCTAGAATAATTGTGTATTCGGAAAACAATATTTTTACTTAAGACATTTAACTGAATAATAAACAACTAATTGTTTTCCTTTTTTCAACATATCAATTCACATTACATTCAAATTGTGCCAAGCAGCAAATTGTATTTTATTGTCTAGAAACATTAGAGTGGGGTAATTTCAAACAAATATCAATTTCAACTTCAACCTAGCATTTCTTGTAGCAAAAATATAAGGCAGTTAATAGAAATACGACTTTCACAGCCTTTGTGCAAAGTCACTTGACTAGCTAGCATTGTAAAATGCAACATAATAATACAGTAGGTTCATTGCAGTGCTTTTATGAGCTTAGACCAGCTCACTAGGAATTAGAAAAATATTCTTTATACAAGTTTTGTAAGTGGTCAAACTAAAATGAGGATACACGTGAAATGTCAATTTCAACATAAAGTGACATCAATTGATTGTCATATTGATGTTGAATAGACAACATATGCCCACTGGGATATTCCATTTGATTTAGTTTATTAAGTTCAGTTGAAGCATTTTGATGATAGACTTGTTAGATGGAGGCAACTGATTCGCTGTGGCGACCCCTGAAGGGAAAAGCCGAAAGAAAAAGAAGACTTGTTAGATAATAATCCAAAGACCCTGTCAAAAACCCAGGTCAACTCCCGCACAGGGGGAGGAGAGGGAAAACTAAAGCCCTCGGAAGAGGCAGTCACACTGATGTTTTAAATATATTTATTCAATTATTTTATGCATTTTTTACAATATTCGAACATTTGTGATGTTTTTCGGGCCGAACAAGTTAGTGTTCAGTGATTTCTGTGACATTTGGCAGCTCTGTGTTTGCCACATAAAACGTTTCAATGTGTCAGAGGTGCAAAATGCAAAATTTGAACTGCTTATTTCGAGGAACGAAACACCTTGTGCATTTTAAGCCTAGCTACCCTCCTCATCTACAAAAAAATTTAGCCATCAAATGTTTTATAAGACCCAGAGCGGGCCGATACAATCCTTGAAATATGTGTGATTATATGACTGAATAGGTGCAATGGGAACAAATAATGTTCTCTAGACTGATGCCCGAGGAGCATCCTTTTTTTTCACTCGTAAAAAAAAAAATGATGAGGGGCATTGAGTCATCCACAGTCTTACTCGCAGCCACTGTGCATGACAACAAACTTCTATCATTTGGTGCTGGTGACTGACCTGAGCTCCAAAGTCATGCTTTTTATGAGGTATCATTTTATCAGGTGCTTGCTATCATGAAGTTTCCCCAAAGACAAAACTATGCAGAGTTGTATTATTATTATTATTATGATTGGTCGCAAGCTATAGGTCGTGACCGAAACAAAGAGATCCCGGATACAAGCGGCCGAAATGAGTTTTCTCTGCAGGGTGTCCGGGCTCTCCCTTAGAGAAAAGGTGAGAAGCTCGGTCATCCGGGAGGGGCTCAGAGTTGAGCCGCTTCTCCTCCACATCGAGAAGAGTCAGATGAGGTGGCTCAGGCATCTGATTAGGATGCGTCCTGAAAGCCTCCTTGGTGAGGTGTTCCGGGCACGTCCCGCCGGCAGGAGGCCCCGGGGACGACCCAGGGCACGCTGCAGAGACTATGTCACCCAGCTGGCCTGGGAACGCCTGGGGATCCCCCGGGAAGAGCTAGAAGAAGTGGCTGGGGAGAGGGAAGTCTGGGCTTCTGCTGCCCCCGTGACCTGACCCCGGATAAGCAGTCGAAAATGGATGAATGAATTATTATTATTATTATTATTATTAAAACACATACAACTCTACCTAACAAATGGTGTACCCCTGCCTGCATTCGATCACTAAGCTCAGGACTAAATATTGCAACTTCTGGAAGAAGTAGCAAAATTCTCTGAGAAGGACGTTTGTTTATATTGGAAAAAAGTGATGAGAGCAATCCATAATGGTGGATACCTTCAGCACACAAATGCATTGCTTCTACAATCTAACGTTTTAAAATTGTTTGACCTTATGAAATTGAAAACTGTACAATGAATGTATAAAACAAGACATATCTTACTGCTATATCCAAAATGTTTTCAGAGAGAAATGGTGGCTATCAATGGAGGCGAGTATAAAAAACTTAAAAACAAAGTAGTCAAGGAAAACAAACAAAAGCTTTGATCAATCTGTATATGGAGTGAACGTTTGAAACAGACTGACCTACAACGATGTCCAAAAATACACCGGTTCAAAAAGAAATACAAAATAAATATTTCTGAGTAATACAGGGAAGTCTTCTGATAACGCCCCATTTTCAGAAAATGTGTCTTTCACAGCAAGCGCTTCTGAATTTCCCCTGATTGTGGCGTATCAGTACCCGTCTTTAACATAATACCACAGTCTCGGAGTTTTGTAGTGCACGACTGGCCAAGATCCCCCATTTTGAAATGACAGTCGTAATAACCACTTTTGGACTTTCTCTTGAACTGGATGTTTCAACTGGTGGAATAGACACAACACCTTATACAGGCAGTGAATGTTACTAGTCACTCTTAATTTTGTCCTGTCTGCTGTCTCATCATCATCACCCGTTATGTTGGTTTCTTATTGAAATGAACAGTCACGTAAGGAACAGTAAAGTGTAACAACAATGCAACTCTCTATTATTCTTCAGGACAACTCCCATAGTCACACGGAGACCAAATGCAGAACACACCCTTCCTGTTCCGGTCTACCGCCTTAAGCCATCTGGGTAATGTTGTCTCTAAGGATTTACAAACACAGGCTCCTTCCCCTGAGGCACAGTGAATAAGAACCAAATTTATATTCATACAAAAGAGTCCTGGGTTGGATCTTCAATAACATGGGGATCGTACTGTTCATATTTACATGAAAAAAAAAAAATATTGAATAAATGTCACATTTGGGAAGAAAAATCTTAAATGATCTGCAATATGTACCGAGTCGCATTTGCATCCAGTCAGTGATGAAGTTCAAGTTTAGAAATGTGTTTGCTTCTCCTTTGTATCCTATTTTCAGCCTGCTTCCCTCCAATCAACTCAAATCCTACGTCAAATCCTGTTTCCTGTTTGCCTGTAGCCTGCACCTAGATCGAATCAACCCTCCCGATCACCGGTCTGACCTACTCTTGAAATAAAGGCCCCTCCATCATAACCAGCTGTTGGTCTCTAGTATTTGCACCTCAGTCCTCGTCATGAAGAAACAGTACAATCGGCCCAATATCGACAACAAAAACACGTAGACTGCCTCAAATGCCAACAAATGAGGGACACCTCTTGCCCCACCTTCTCTCCAATGTTGCAGTTCAAAATCCAGTGTCAAAGGCACTGTTGAAAATAGATGGGTGGACGGATGATGTTACTTTGTCAGAGTATGAGTGGGAAATCACAGAGAGAATCACCAAAAACATGTCATCATTTATGAGTAAGTTAGGTAAAGCATGCCATTTCCTTCGCCGTTCAACAGCTAAAACTGCTTCTTCGCATCTGGATTTTAAAATTTACACTTGGTATTCATCCGCTCAAAAAACAGTTATAAGCCTCTAGTGTTTTGTAAGCTTTCGTCTGGCAGTGTGCCACCGAGCAGGTCATCAACACTAGGGAGTAAACAATGTCGGGATAAGACACACTTGGCTGAAAAATCAGCCATGGACCGTGTGTAGGGACCGATTGCTCCACACAAAGGAACTTTATGCCAGTATCGCAGTTGTAAATCAGCTGGCGAGTCGTCAAAAGACTTCGAAAATGCCATAATAAAACAAGTTGATGATTGCTGTTAACAGCTGTGCGTGAATGTGTACAGCCAGTGTGTAACCACCCAAGATGGCTGTGGTAGAAAAAAAAAAGACTTTCCAGAATGCCCCTGTCCCATCCTGTAACAATGGAAATATGGCACGTGAAAAACTCTAACCGGCGACCGAAGCATTAGGCTAATAAGACCACATTTTTCCCATGATTCTTAGACACAGAAACAAGAAGGGGTTCTAAAGCCAGTAAAACGAAGACGGACTCCTGCTAGAGATTAGATGCGGATAAGAATGAGAATGAAACATAATGGATAGGAATTTGAATTAAAGACAACAAACTGAGAAGCCAACATCCATCCACACATACATAAGGCACACTGGATTAAAAGGTCTTCTGTCGATTTTTGAGAAAGGATTTTAATTTCCACCTTAAGGTCAGAAAAAATATGGCACAATTAGCATGAATACATTACACTAAGGCCGCTCCATGGTCCAGTGGTTAGCGCGTCGACCTCACAGTGCAGAGGTACCGGGTTCAATTCCAGCTCCGGCCTCCCTGTGTGGAGTTTGCATATTCTCCCTGGGCATGCGTGGGTTTTCTCTGGGTACTCCGGTTTCCTCCCACATTCCAAAAACATGAATGGCAGGTTGATTGAACACTCTAAATTGTACCTAAGTGTGAGTGTGAGTGAGGATGGTTGTTTGTGTCTGTGTGCCCTGCGATTGGCTGGCAAACGGTTCAGGGTGTCCCCCGCTTACTGCCCAAAGACAGCTGGGATAGGGTCCAGCACCCCCCGCGACCCTTGTGAGGATAAGCGGATCGGAAAATGAATGAATGAATACATTACACTAAATAACAAAATTACAAATGAAAATACTCTCCACTGCCCTACGTTCCAATAAACCACAAGGAATGCTCCTGACGCAAATATTAGTTATGAGCTCTGCATTGTAGGGCCCGGGGGCTACACCCGGCCCGCCTGCAGTCTCTGACGCGCTTTCACAGTAAAGTGAAGTCAAAGTAAAAAACATAAAACGTGCTGCTTTTATATTTAAAGTTGCACTTTTATTTTATGCGCACATATGCAGACTAGTACGCTTACAATTATACGCTTATACGCTGATAATTTTGTTTAGAATTTGTCGGTTTGCATGCTGGCCCGTTTCTCCCCTTTCAAAAATTAATTGCCCACCCCCGCTTCAGTTATTTCAGCACACATTGGCCACTTTTGCTTAAGAAAAATGAATTTGTCATTCATTTGTCACTGGTACCTGAGAAACGACACCACTGATGTGCTGTTTTTAGATTGAGAATTATAATGTTTGCCAAAACTAAAACATTATTGTTGTGGCTGAAGCTTTTTGTAACTTATTTACATATTCATTTCATTCCTGAATATGGAGAGCTAAAGTAAAAATACATCCAAGAAGAGACACAGTGGAAGTCACATGAAAAGGGTGGACCCTTTGCATTAGCACAAGCTGACTAGTCGATATCATCATATGCTGTCATATCCACCACAGAAGTTTTGTGAAAACCAATTTAGCATTTTTTGCAAACTCCTGCTCACTCTGTCTTCCTCCTGTATGTCAAATTGGCTGCTGTGAAAGTGCTCTTCGCAATATCAAGCCTTGAGGTGGCCAAAGACTGAAGCACTTTAGGTTGACACATGAAAGTGATGCAGTAGCTCTTAAACATTCGATACAGCCTCCATTTCTGCGTTGAGAAAATCATATTTGCACCAAGAACAGACAATGGAGAAAGCAGCCTTCCTCTAAATAACAAGCTCTTTTAAGTGCTGACAACCACCACAACAGCCAGGGGCAAACCTGCGGTATTCATTATTCTGACCCATGTGTGGCTTGCTAAAACTTTTTGTCCTATTTACATTTACATTACAGTCTGACTGAATTTTTCACCTCATTATTTTCACTCCATTCCAAAGTTGTCATCTTTCTGATGGTTACAGCTGAAAACCAAATGATTCATAGAGACAACGAGAGTTTGCCTGTTGTGGCTTTGTGGAATTAAATGCGACAGGACCTAACCGAGAATAATATAAAACACAGCCTCACTTGGAGAAGTCAAAACATTCTGACATCGTTGGGATAAAACACCTGCATATGCAAGACAAACCGAAGGCAAACAAAGTTATTTTTCACAACAGAGCGATCCTGAGAAGAAAAGTAAAATATCAGCTGAGCTGCAGAGATTGCCTGTGCCCTGGGTTGATATATTGCAGGAAAACACAGCCTCACTGGCAGCAAATAACCTCGTGCTTTTCCACCTGATTTGCTGATGTCTAAATTCATTTTTAAGGATGTTTCCTGATCCACTAATCAATATTTTCCTTGTCTAACAGCAATTTATGCCCTCTATTGTAATTCCCTCACCATTCCCCCCGCTGAATGACAGCAGCCGTGCCTCTTCCTGCCTATTACCGGCTATAATTGTTCTTTATTTTACTCCTCCCTTTATGTGGCATGATGTCACCCTGTGGACACAGGGATCAGAAGGGAGGATCATTCCGATCTCACACAAAGCTTCGGCTTTTATCGTTTGCACATAATTCACCTGTCACATGACCAGTTGGAGCTTTTATTGCATGCAGCTCATCGTTCAGATTCCCAAGGGTGTTGGAGCCTGTGCCAGCTGATGATGGACTGGTTGCCAGTCAATCGCCAGGCACATACAGTATAAACAAATGACCATTCAAAGTCAGATTCACACCTATGGGGAATTTCTAGTCTTCTATGAACCTTAAATGCGTGCTTTTCAAATGCCAGCGGAAGCTGCGCAAGCGTGGAAAAGACATGCATTTGTGTTGTCAATTACATGAAATAGCGGCCCGGTGGTCGACTGGTTAGCGCGTCGACCTCACAGTGCAGAGGTCGTGGGTTCGATTCCAGCTCCGGCCTTCCTGTGTGGCGTTTGCATGTTCTTTCCGTGCCTGCGTGGGTTTTCTCCGGGTACTCCGGTTTCCTCCCACATTCCAAAAACATGCATGGTATGCTGATTGAACACTCAAAATTGTCCCTAGGTGTGAGTGTGAGTGCGAATCGTTGTTCATCTCTGTGTGCCTTGCGATTGGCTGGCAACCGGTTCAGGGTGTCCCCCGCCTACTGCCCGAAGACTGCTTCGATAGGCTCCAGCACCCCCCGTGACCCGTGTGAGGATAAAGCTGATCGGAAAATTGATGGATGGAAGAATGGATGGATGGAATTACATGAAATAAATTTCATGCAGTCTTCTTTTTATGATTGTTTGACAGTCAAGTTTTCCTTAAAACAACACCTGTCAGGTTTGATTCTGAAAGTCATTACGCAGACTTGTTCTGTGTGAAAATAAGATTGAAATACGGATCAGTTGAACTGACCCGTGTCCTGAAAAGTAATGTTGACAACTTCAAACACTTCACTGGCCGTGTGGGCTGAGTATGGAAAAAATGTGGGTGAGATTTAAGTTCAAAACATTTTTGTTACTTATGGTGAGACATGTGAAAGCCTGGACAGAAACACAGACGAGGCCGAAACACAGACAGACGACCTTTATTAACGCTGTGGGGGGATTTGTTAAAGATTTCAAAATTGCGTGGTGTGAAGATCAATATCTTCACCCCCGCTGGACAGTAGCTCGGAGATTGTACGGCTCTAAATTTGGGGATGTTGCCTCAGACTGCTCATTTCAAGGCATCCGTGCCCCAAAGAACTGCTGACTTCTCAGGTCTGACATGAGCTGCAGGTTATAAAAAATACATGTGGGCCGTGTACGATGAGGCACAACTTTAAAACACGCTGCTTCAGATGAGATTGTGTGGATCTTGGTTGTATACTTTTAGAAAAAAAAAACTTTTAAAATATGCCCACAGCTGCTGGAGTTATTTACCACAGTTGTATGGGCCACAAAAACAGATGGACTTCATTGTCTGAAATAAACCCAACCAGATATCATTATGGTTGCGAGGTATGAAAACATCAGCAGCTGTTGCTTTATTTGTGTTTATGTCTTTTCAGGAGAAATCCTTGGTTCTTAGAAAAGTGATGTGGCTATGTAAGGACAAGGACATGGAGGAAAGGAATACTGAAAGCGATACGTCAGCTCACTTCATTTATCTGCATTTACCCTTGTCTGCATGTGTCATGCGGAAGGATCACAATAGAATAAGCAGAACTCTCGACGGAGACAATCAAGCGATCTTGGCAACATAAATAATAACAGACCCTGCCCACATGTCTTTTGTTCAGCAATAGCAGATCATGATAAGAATATGCTCATTGGAAGCAGATAACTTTGTTTTGAATTTATGAATACAGGCTTTGTATATGGAAAAAGAAAAAGAAGTAAAGCCGGATTACTTCTATTGTGGTTTTGCATTCTTGCTATATTGGTGATATTTTTTGTTTTTTT